CCGTAGCCAAAAGCTTAGCAAGATTCAAAGAAGAACTGGACTTTTATAAAGATAATGAAAACATCAGCTGTTACCTCAGATGGGGGCACAATACATAATAGAATTAAACCTGCATCAGCCATTCTGTAAGTGCCTCTGGTAAGGAAGACATTTCCTCTGTGTTTTGTTCACACCAAACCCCAGGAACTAACCTATAGTTTAGGAGCATACAAATTGCTAGACAGACTCAGACCCAAGGTCCATCTAGCACAGTCTCCTGTTTCTGACAGTGCCAAGCACCAGGTACTTCAGAGGAAGGGATAAAAACCACCACCGTATCCCACGGGGTATGTTGGATAATCTGCCTCCTATGCTAGAGTTCATCCTTGTCTCTGATAGTAAGAGATTGGCTTGATTCCTGTGGCAGTGAGTTCCACAGACTAATCACTCATGTGGAAAAAGTATTTCTTTTTGATCAGTTTTGAATTTTTCACCTTGGAGTTTCATTGCGTGTTCCTTTGTGTTCTGGGATGGAGAGAACAGATGTGATCAATCTCCCTTCTCTAATCCGGTCAGAATTTTATAAATCAAGAGTCCCATAACTTTTACCATAAGGGCTTCCCCACGGTTCAAGCCCAGCCCTCTGGCACCACAGTGAATGCCAGATCCTCAACATACCCATTTTACAGGGCTGTTTGCAATTCTCAATTTCAGTTAATGAAGCGATGACTCTCATGTAGGAGTGCATTTCCTGCTGCACAGAGCAAGGCCAATGCACTCCTTCAGTCCCGGTTACACCGTAGGGCCATGCTGCTGTTAAAGGGTCACAACTTTGGTGCTATAACTGGTATGTTTTAAAATTTCCTTTTCAAAGATCCAGGTCCCTGGCAGCGCAGTGAGAGAGGAGCCTGTGGAGCTGAACGTGAGTCCCTACACAGCAGGTAACCTTTCCCTTATTTCAACACAAACTGGTTTATTTGTCCTTGGCCCAAAGCTCTTTGATATCATTCTCAATGATCCAGAAAAAAATACAGAATCTGATGATGTTCCCAGATGACACAATCAGTGGGTGGTGAATAGTGTTGGGGGCAGAGCAATTCCACAGAGCATTCGGGATCAGCTAGGCCCATGTAAACATGCATTTTAATACAGCCCAGGGCCAAGGTCCAGGAACCAAGAACATAGGCCACACTTGCCAAATGGGGGGCTGTATCCTTAAAAGTAGGGCCTCTGGAAAGGACATGAGGTCCTGAACAGGAGCTCCCTGTGTGATGCTATGCCTAAGGTGGCAATATGTCCTGGATATAAAAGCAGTGGAATATCGAGTGGGGCAGAGAGGAGGTGCTGTTTCTGTATATGGCATTAAAAAGATTATTACTGGAGACTGTGGGCAGGTCTACACTGCAAACTTACTGCTTCTGATGAAGATACACTAAGTGATGGAAGAGAGCCCTCCCATCCACTTCATAACCCCACCTCCGCCAGAGGCGATAGCTATGCCAGTGGGAGCTTTCCCGACGACATAGGGCTCGCGGTCTACACTGGGGCTTAGGTCAGTATAACTATGTCGCTCAGAGGTGTGGATTATACATACCCCTAAGTGACCATGTAGTGAGAGACTCAGAAGTTCAGTCTACTTAGTTCATCCCAAAGAAGGTTAAGAGGTGACTTGATTTCATGATCTACAAATACCTACCTAGGAAGGAGATTTCTAATAGTGGACAGATCTTAAATCTAGCAGACCTAGGCGGAACATGGCTCAGTGCCTGAGAGCTGAAGCTAGAAAAATACAGCCTGAAAATAAGAGGCCAATGTTTAACAGAGAGGGGAATCAATGGAACAACTCATCTATGGAACATGGTGGATTCTCCATCACTTGGAGTCTGGTCCCTGCTGGTGTTCAGATCTGTGAATCTATGATTTAAAAATCTGCCCAGTTTTTCCGTAAAGTCTGTTGAGCTGAAACATTTCTCCTTGGGGGCACAAGAAGCCGTCGCTGTGTGTGCAGTCTCACCGACACATGGCTGCAGCCTGGTTCTTACATGGACATCCATGAATATGGGGCCTAGCAACTGGTGCCCATAGGGAGTGGATCTCTGTTTACAGAGCAAGGCAGCTGGTCTCCAGTGGCCTCAGATGTGGTGCAGGGAGTCATCTAGGTCATGCCGTGTACCAAGAGGTTCAGCACTAACAGCTCCTTCCCAGCTCTTCTCGTGGGGATGACCCCCTTGATGGAGCTAAGGGATCTGTTCTTCCAAACCCTCCCTGTCTCTCAGTGACTCCTGATCTGTCCGTCTGCTCCCCAGCCGAACTTTAGCTTTAGCTGAGAGCGGGAACAAAATATTTTAATGGGACTTTTTTTCTTCAATTTTACCATAATGAAAGAAAACTTTATCTGCTGCAAATGTGACAACCAACACATTGGGGATTTAACTGGGGCCCTCCAGAGCTAAACGCACGTGCTGCTACAGCTTGAGCTACACAGCTAACTGTGCATGAATGGGGCTACAACAGGCCCATATCCTCTGTGGATCAGGCACAAATGGGGGCCTGTCTCTCACACTCCCCCACTAGCTAAAGAAATGGAGTTGGGTGAAGGGCAACAGGACGATTGGAGCAGCAGATGGCAAATGCATTCTACTGACTGCATGTGAGCTAAGGTGTAACAAAGTATTCTGAGGCACTTTGACTTGTGGCCAGGCCCCGTTTTTGTCATGAACACGCAACTTCTGAGCTGTAAATGTTGTAAATTTGAAGTTTCTTTCCTTTGTCTTCAACGTGTGAAACTTTTCCTCGCCCTTTGCAAGTTTAACTGAAAGCTCTTTACTTTATAAAAATTGCAGATCGTGAGGGAAACAAAGAGGCCTCGGCATCGGAGGAGAGGTTTGTGGCATGGTTCAGAAATGGATGTTGTGACGCAGACTCAGTGCAAATATGAGTGTAAAAGAAGCAGATGTTGTACTAGGGATTTTGCTTGAAATCAAGGAAGCTTGAGACCTGAGAGTTAAGTGTTATGCAGGGAGCTCTTGCTGTGCTGCTATTGTTACTCTAGCCAGTTTTGATCTAATCCTAATCCTAGCTATATCAAAACTAGCTTGGGGACCCCTACACGAGCTGCAATCACACCTCTTGATTGCAGCGTAGACATATTCTCTGTCTTCCTTTTGTGCAGCACCCAGCACAATGGGACCCTGATCCCTAGCTGAGGCATCTGGGTGCTACCATAACATACATAACAAGGAGTCTGGTGGAACCTTAAAGACTAACAGATTTATTTGGGCATAAGCTTTTGTGGGTTAAAAAAACAGACTCCTTGTTGTTTTTGTGGATACAGACTAACATGGCTACCCCCTGATACTTCATAACATAAATGACAGGTTTCAGAGTAGCAGCCGTGTTAGTCTGTATCCCCAAAAAGAACAGGAGGACTTGTGGCACCTTAGAGACTAACAAATGTATTTGAGCATAAGCTTTCGTGGGCTACAGCCCACTTCTTCGGATGCATAGAATGGAACATATAGTGAGGAGATATATATACATACAGAGAACATGAACTCTAAGAGGCTAATTAATTAAGATGAGCTATTATCAGCAGGAGAAAAAATTTTTTTATAGGAGAACACTTCAACCTCTCTGGTCTCTCAGTAACAGACTTAAAGGTAGCAATTTTGCAACAGAAAAGCTTCAAAAACAGCCTCCAGCGAGAAACTGCTGAACTTGAATTAATATGCAAACTAGATACCATCAGTTGAGGCTTAAATAGAGACTGGGAATGGCTAAGCCATTACACACATTGAATCTATTTCCCCATGTTAAATATCCTTACACCTTCTTGTCAAACGGTCTGAAATGGGCTATCTTGATTATCACTACAAAAGTTTTTTTTCTCCTGCTGATAATAGCTCATCTTAATTAATTAGCCTCTTAGAGTTGGTAGGGCAACTCCCACCTTTTCAT